ACTGTCTCTCTATCAGGAGTTCTCAACGTGGGGCAGCTGTGTCACCTCGCTGGGTATTTGGAAATGTGTGTGTGTGTTGCCTGGGGAGACTGTTTTTTTTAAAAAAATTTTTTAGTATAATTTATTTTTAAAGCCATTTTAGATTCCCAGCAAAATTGAGAGGAAGGGACAGAGAGTTCCCATGTACCCCGTCCCCACACGTGCACAACCTCCCCCATTGTCAGCATCCCACAGAGTGGTCCATTCATTATGATTGATGAACCTGAATCTGGCTTTTCAGGCTGAAGTCCAGGGATGCTGGATACTCAGAAGTCTGTCCAAGGAAGGCTTGTCTTGCCCTGATGCCAGCCGTAGCCCCACTGAGGAGCACTGCTGAGCTCAGACACAGCAGGCGGGGCAGGCTGCAGGGGCTCCTTTTTCATCCTTTGAAGTGATGGGTCTGTGTGCTCTTTACTGGCTTTTCTTTTAAAGAATGTAGCTTATGGGGGAGTAGAGGTGAGTAACAGGGCCTCAGGGATTGGACAGCCATACGATGGTGCAATTCTCTTTTCTGATGTGGATGTAGCTTAATAAGAACTTTTGCCAGCGCTGGGAGGAGGAGGAGATGATGAATCATCTCTAATCTATCTGGGTGAGTCTAATGAGGTGACTCACTCCTGTCCTTATTCTCAAGGGTCAAGAGGAATATCTTTAAAAATGGTCTCAGGGACCGGCAATGGGAGGCCATTGCTCATGAGGGAGATAATGTGCCAGAATTGACCAGATGTCCCCTTGAACAAATACTTTCCCAACGGTCTGCACTTTCAGAGAGGTGGTGCTGGGCATTGGTTTCTGGCACAGGTTCTGGGACCAGATTGTGAGTCTTGAATTCGAACATCCCTACTGTGTGCTAGGCATGTGTCCATGGGCAGGTTGCTGCTCTCTGCCTCAGTGACCTCATCTCTAAAATGGGGAAAATAACAGCACTAACCTCACAGAGGTATTGTAAGATCAAGGAAGCTACATTTACAGAGCCCAATACATAGGAAGCACTCAGTAATCCAAATAATTACAGTGATCATGATTTCTCCAACTCACTCCTCAACTCACTATAATTTAACTTTTTCCTCCATTGTTCTATGGAAGCTGCTGTCACTGAGGTCACCTACTCGTTTTCAAGTGCAGTGGCTATGTTCTTCTTCATCCTTTTTGTCCTCCGTGTATGATTCTCTTGAACTTCTAGAAATTCTCCTTTGACTTCTAAGACGATGCTCTTTTCTAGTTCTCTTCCACTTTTCTGGCATTTCTTCTCCTTCTTGCTCCCCTTTCAGGCCTGCATTTTAAGTATCAAGGTTCCCCAGGGCTCTGATGTCAGGCTTTACTCTTTTATCTCAATGAAGTCCTCCTGGGCCACCCCTTTCCTTCCCATGGCTTGGGAGCCTACAGCAGGACCCTTCTCCCTGTGGCTCTTCCCCTGGGCCTTTCAAATCCTAGAATAATACAGAGAAAGTGGAGACCGTTCAAAATCACAGGCTCTTGGAACATTTTGTTGATCACTCAACTGTCCGTGGACTTTATGAGAGCAGATTCAAAGAAAGCCTTTCACAAAAGAAGTTTAAGTCCCAACGTTATATCTTCTCCAAACTTCTTTCCGTTCTGTGTCCTTCCTGCATGTTACATAACAACCCATGTCCTGTAATGCTGAGAATGGAAAGGGATGGGAAAGGGGGATAATTTCTGCTGTCTGTTCTTTGGTTTTCTTGCAATCCATGGTCTACAATTCTGCTAAAGCAAGTGATCTATGGTTGCAGTTGAGGCTGTGAGTTTTGGAGTGAGTGAGACCTGCCTGGGTATGAGTCCTGCCTTTCCATTGTATTCCTTAATCTCTTCACCCCTGGATGCCTCCTTCCTGCAGCCCTGTGGCCTGAGGCTATGGCTCTATGACACTAGATCCGCTGCTTCCTCTTTTCCTTGTTTGCCCCCTTGTTTTGCTGAAGCCCTTCCTTCGATGCTTCCTAAGAAGGGTGACAAGTGAGCTAAATTTTTGCACATTTGCAAATATCATTTTTTTGCCCTTAACAGTGGATTCGTATACAGTCGTGTGCTGCATAAGGATGTTTGCATCAATGACAGACCACATATATGATAGTGGTCCCATAAGATTATAATGGCTGTACCATATAGCCTAGGCGTGTAGTAGGCTGTACCATCTAGGTTTGTGTGAGTACACTCTATGAGGTTCGCACAACAATGAAATCACCTAACCACACATTTCTTAGAACATATCTGTTGTTAAGCGATGCTTGACTGTATTTTTTTAAGGTGAGGAATTCCAAGTTGAGAAGTTGTCCATCAAAATGTTGAAAGAATTGCTTAGTGCAGTAGCAACAGTTGTGTTGTTATGGAGCATTGCGTTATCTTTCTGATTGCTGTTCCTTTGTAAATGTGACCTATCCCTCCCTCCTGGAAGCTCTTAGCATCTTCTCTTTATCCCCCTCCTTCTGGCCTTTTGTAATTTTGTGCCTTGTGTGTGTGTGAGCACTCCTGCATGTGTGTTGATTGTGCTGAGAACTGGGTAGGGAATTTGGGAAGATTTCTGTAGATTTCTTGTTTTTTCTTCCATCTTTTCTATTCTCTCTGGAATTTCTTTTAATCAGATGTTGGATCTCTGTATCAAGCCTTTAGTTTTCTTTTCTTTCCTATGTACCACCTCTTTCCTTTTTGTTTGATTTTCTGGAAGATTTCCCTGACTTTTTCTTCTTTGATTTTTAAATCTTGATGATCATAATTCCCAAGGACTCTTTCCTACCCTCTAATTGTTTATGTTTTAAGTATTGTCTGGTTTTATAGATGCAATGTCTTCATTGATGTCTCTGAGGATATCAGTAATTTTTTTTTTTTTTAAGTCTGCTGCTTCCTGCAGTGACTCTGTATCCTGCAGGTCCCTGATTGTCTGCTTGTCTTGCATGCTGTCTTTCATAATGAAGCTTTGCACCCCTGGTGATCTGGGTGTTTCTTCATATTTAGGAATTGCGCACTAAACCCTGTGAGCATGGGTGGAGCTTATCAACTGGCCGGTGTCACAATGGCATTGAGATCACTGAGTGAGCTTCACTTTCCATTGGGAGATCCCACAATGTCAATATCAAGTAGGATTTTGGTGAGAATTTGTCCAGGCAAGCATTCTCTAATCTCCTGCAGGGCGGTGGCGTGAGGCAAAGTCAGGGGCGGGGAGTAGGCAGGGTTGTGCCTGATTTCTGAAGCTGCAGGAGAGGAAGAAGGAGCTTAGCTTCATGCTCCATCCCAGCTGTGCTGAACCTTCTGGGTTCTGTTTCTCTGGGAACACCACTAGACTCTTGCGGGTTGGAAGTGAGGGGATGGCCGGGGCACCTTGTCCCAGCCATGAGCCTCACCCCAGCCTTCCTAGCTGTCGTGCCCCCAGCAGAACTGACTTCCTGTCAATTCCCTTGTAGCCCTGTTGTTCATCCCTTCCTCCATTCTGGATGTCACCTTCCTCCTTTGCCTTTTCATCTTCCACATTGTCATTACAGTATGTTACTTCCTTTTGTCTCCTCTTTTCCTCTTTCTCTTTGTGCACAGATATTTTCTTTAATTCCTTTGTATTTCAGCGATGTTTGAGGAGGGAGAGAGGCTAAAGACCAGTGTTTAGTTTTCCCTTTTTAGCTGGAAGTCACTATGAAGTTTTTCAAAGAGTTTTCTGGAACTGGCTTCTTTCTGCAAGGCAATGATTATTGCCAGTTATTTGGACGACCACTCATTGCTGCCTTTCCACACGGTCTCCAACACGGTCAGACATTTGTCATGGGTTGGAATAAGCCTGTCTGTGCTGACGGAGTGGAATTCAGGGTCCTCAGCTTGCGTTTTCCAGTCTTCCGTTTAGTTCCACCTCATTGATGCCTCACTTCGCTATTTGATGGGAAATATTCTCTCCATAAACTTCAGTAAGATGTAATGGATTTCTGCCGTGGAAATATTGTTCAAGCTGCAAAACCAGATCACAGCAGGCACTTTGTCTGGGGACTGTGTGCCTAGTAAAGCAGCCATTTAAAATGCCAGTTGTATGAAGCCACAGTCGTAGCTAATTCACTTTACAGAAATTTTATTTGTATGTATGGGAGAGTCACACCACCCAACAGAATCATTGTTCTACCAAGACGGCAGCATTTATTATCTTTGTCAGCCTGTGCTTTTGAGTAACCTTATTTACTGGGTTTCTTTTTGGGGTTAGAAAATAGTAGATGTGGGGTTGGTGAAGATGCAAATGATGTTTTTTGAAGGCTTTGGGGTGATGTGGGTCTCTCAAGTGTGGGACGGCTGGCCCAGCTGCCAGTAGGCTAATCGCAATGCAACCTTATTGCTGTCACTTGTGAAACCTGGATCTGGTTAGATGAGGCCCACACTGGGCTTATCTCCCTGTGGACAAGGAAGGGTTGATGGCTGAGTGTAGATTCCTCTGGGAAACTGATGAGCACGCTGGAAAGGCTCTGGGCCTCCAAGCCCCTAATAAGAGGCTCTCAGTCCTGGCTGTGTCTGGGGACCTTTTCCAATCCTGATGCCCAGATAGTTGAGTCAAAGCCTCTGGGGTGGAATCAAGCATCGGTACAGTTAAAACTCATGATGGGAGGAGGAACAGGGTGTAACCTATTGCTAGGTCATTAAAACAAAATCCTATTGTTGCTACATAAGCAAAGAAACTTATTTAAAGATATTATTATTTTGGATTAATTTGGATTTGGGAGGAAATGAAAATAATTCATGTCATGGTTACTTTGATTTGCTTTTATTTCGCAGCTATTTTCATGGTTTGACGGGGTGGGTAATTCTTGAGAAAGGAAATTTAGGGGTGATTTTCTGAACTTAGAATACAGAGCATTCGGGGAATCTCTTCTGATGAACTTTGCTGCTATGGAAAATATGGTGTGAAAGACAGTGAGGGGTCTGTGGGCAGGGCTGGGAGCTGGCTGGATGTGACTTCACCAGGTCTCTCATGGTGTGTGCAGGTCCTGTGGCTGTCATCAGTGGTGAGGAGGACTCAGCCAGCCCCCTGCACCACATCAACCATGGCATCACTACGCCCTCGTCGCTGGATGCCGGGCCCGACACAGTGGTCATCGGCATGACCCGCATCCCAGTCATTGAGAACCCGCAGTACTTCCGTCAGGGACACAACTGCCACAAGCCAGACACGTGTAAGTACTGGGATGGAATGCTGTCCCTTCTGGGGAGGGAAGGGTAATGTGGTGACAGACCATGTAGCTGGGGTCTGGAACCTTCTGAGGTGACCTGACACCTGCCAATCTCCCACCCTCTAAGAGACCCTCCCTGTTTGCCTCCAAACTTGAAGAATAGCCTGGGTAGGGAGATGACATTGGGCGGAGTCCCCAGGGGAGGGAGGGCTACAGGTCTGAATCTGGTCCCCTCTTTTCTTCACCTGGGTTCAGCAGGACCCTAGGTAGAGAGAGGTGCTCCCAGTAAGGCTGGGGACACAGGCGAGACTGGTCTCTGTAGACCTGTCCTATGTAGACAGGAAACATAATCTGACTCTGTCCAGACAACAGTTTCTGAGGTCACCAGACCTCCACCCAGGCCTCCATGAGAGGGGAAGGGAACCAAGGGTGGTGAGTACCTTTGAATGGAAACATCTCCCTAGCTGCCCTCCAGTGCCCCGAAGTGTGCCCTGTCTGAGAACTGGATCATAGCCCAAGCACTAGGAACCCTCACCTCACCCCCCTACACCCCATAGACATCTCACTCAGACCACAGGGCTCAGGGCTCCTGTTTCCTCCTCATCTCTCACCTCTCTTGGCGTTTCTGCTGAGTCCTTCTAGGTCCCCTCTCAGCCCCTGCAGCCTCAGTGGCTTGGCCCTTCATCCATCAGGGTTCCTCTTGCTCTGTCCCCAGGTTCAGTTGGGGCCCTGCCACACCAATGCACACCCCTGTCCCTCCCACTCCTCCTGCCCCCAAGAAATGATCCGCTGCTTCGGGAGAGAGTGCAGAGGCCACTGGAGAGTAGGGACACCGATGACTGCCTGAGAGCTGGAAGAGACAGCAGTGATTGGCTAGGTTAAGGCCTTCACCTCACAGATGGGAACACCGAGGTTCTGGGGGGCTCCCTGCCAGTGGGCTCTCTTCATCTCTCAGCTGGTGCCAGGCAGGCCCAGGGAGAGGTGCGTTCTGGTCTTGCTCACTCCCTGGGCTGAGCTGTCTGTACTTGGGCCACACTCTCTGTAGCTCCCTCAACTCTTGCTGCCCCTGCTGGTTCATCTTACAGTGGCGTGAGCATTCGGGTACCCCCCCTTTGCTTTGTTTCTCTGGCTCTGATTTCTAGCAAGAAGGTTGCCACAGTGGGAAGGCCAGGCTTGAGTTAGCATAAGGTCATCATTTGCCTTCCAACCTAGGGTGTCCTCCAGAATCTGTCTCCATGTTTACCACACACTCCCTGTCAGTACTGGAGGAGGGATACCTGGGTTCTGGACCAGGGCTGGGCAAGGAAGAAAGATACCTGTGTTTCAGATAAACTGTGGGAAACACAGTGCAAAGAACAGTTCTGCTCTGGCTATAGCTCTTGTCTCAGACCAGGCTCATTCTTGGACTGACCCGGGTGTGGCTGGGAGGAAAGGCCCTTCTGTGGTGGCAGCACAGATCTGAACTTGGTCTAGGGTTGATGCTGAGCTTTCTAGGGTCCCATTGGTATTTGAACAGACTTAGACATCATTGTGTTGAATATACAGTCAATTCTCATTATTTGCAGTAGTTATGCTTTATAAAGTCTCTCTGAACACTGAATAAGTGAATAGTGAACGAGTGCTCCTAGGGGAAATACAGGGTTAGGTTCCTGGAAGCCTCTGGCCACAACATTTTATCAATTGAGCAATCAATACATAACCTAGTTGTAGGTGTTTGTGTAAAGACACTTTATGTAATGCAGATTGTTGATTCACTGACCCTGAGCTCAAGGCCGACAGCACTGTATCTCATGCCTGAACGAAGCTTATGTAACACAGGTGTTTTCTCTGTAAGGCACACAGCTGTCCTGCACTCAGACAGCACTTCAGCACCATGCTTGCAGGCCAGGTTAAACAGCAAAATCATCAACGAAAAGCACAAAAATGTGAAAAATGTGATCTGGAATAGATCACAAAAATACTTGTGCTTGTTTACAGAATGATAGCTGAAATAAGAATTTTAAAACAATGTAATACAAGATATATATCTCTATATATGTATATACATACACACACATATATATGATTTTTATTTGTCAATTAAAAAATAAATTAATTAAAAAAAGAAAAAGCAGAGTGTTGTCTTGTTCATCCTCAGCTGTTGATATGTACATAGAGCGACTCAAATTTTTTGTCACTCTGCATATGTCCCCAATTGACTGTGAAAGCACCTCAAATATTGGTGTCAAGTAAATTTTAGAGAGCATGAGAATTTACAAATACAGAATCCATGAATAATGAGCATCAATTATATTTCTTTTAGTGGAAGCTCTGGGCTGCTCCTGCAGAGTACAATCTCAGGGTCCTATCTGTGTTCGCTGAAGCTCCTGATACCAGGTTATCTGTGCAGTTGTCAGATGGGGCAGATCTGGCATGTGGAAGGCACGTTTCCTCTGGGCCATTAGAATAGGTGTCCCTGTGGAAACTTGGGAGCCATGGAGAGAACTATGGGACCTGGTGAGTGTCCTTTGATGTCAGAAAAAAGCACAGCCCAAGAGCTATCGAACTAACAAAACCATGCGGAGGAAAATCCTTCCTTCTCAAGTTCTCTGGGTTTGTGACTCAGAGTGGCCTGAGGATCTAGATAGTACCATACTTCTGTGTAAGCAAATAGAAGTCGGCAAAGATGGAGGGGAAGCAGGTTTATTGACAAAGATTTGAAGGAATAGGGGAACAAACAGTCTCTTATCAGAGGAAAAAATCATGAGATGACTCCAGATTGTCAAAACCCTCTGACGTTGGGGAAAGGATCCTTTTTAGGGAAGTGGTACATTTTGTCCCGTCAATAGGCAGTGAATGGCTCCTAATTGTTTTCAGAAAACATAGGTGGCATGATAAACAACGTGCAGGAGTGTTGTAACCGGATTTGGCTAATCCTTCCTCTGCTAATCCATCAGTGACTCACACACACAGGGAAAGAGAGTGTCCAGGCCAGTCCTCAGTGAAGATTTACCGGCTGAAAAGGCAGCAGGTCTCTGATGACCAAGGCTTCATCAGTCAAGGGAATGGACTCCAAGACACATCCCCGTGTGTGATGAGACACTGTCACAAATAATTAAGACCACATGCACCTTAGCACGTAAATAAGGAGAGAGCATTTGTGAGGCTGCAGACAAGTCTGGGGACACTGCTTTGGGGGTATGGCAAGAAGTGGGGGAATTAAGAGAAGAAAAATGCTCATATTGTGGATCACCCCAGGGGCTCTCCCCATCTGCTTCCCTGCCTTGTCCCATGTGAAAGCACGGGATGTGGGCAGGAATGGCAGGATCATTGTGCTGCTTGACTTCAGGCATCACTTCCCAGTCCTCGCAGGGATGGATTAAACACAAAAGCACTTTTCTTTCTTTACTTGTGTGTTTATCATAATGGTAGGACCTTCCTGATCGGAATGATTAGGATGCTGGTCCTCTCCTCGCTTCTCACTTTCTATCTGCCTTCAATCTGGTCCATAGCATTTTTCATAGCATGTCAGGCCGCAAGGATATTTAGAGATCACCTGGTACGATCCCTTATCAGATGCTTCCACCCGTCGCCTGCATTCCCAGCAAGATCTCTGCATTTGACATTGTCTTTATTCTGAATTTATTTAGCCTTTCCAGGGATACTGAAAGAGCTGTATAAAGATGCTCCTACTTAGCAATGTGTATGGAATCTGAACCCTTATAAGACCCCTCTCATTATCAATTTAAAGCACCCTTGTTCTCAAAAAGCATCAGGAAATGGAAACGGTCCTTGCCACACAGCTGAGGGTCCTGGACTTTGGGCGAGGCCTGACAGAATGAGACACCAAGATACCGGTCCGACAGGTCACTGGAAAGAAGTGAAAAGGTATTTGTAGCAACATCGGGCCCTGGATTACTTCTGTCACCTGGGTGACAGCTCTGGGCTGCCGCGAAGTCGTGCATGGGCTGGGACTGGAATGCTCGTTTCAGGTCTTTCCCATAGGCCAGGTGGAAGGCTCCTTGGCTCTCTTTAAGGCCCTGCAGTTCACTGTTCATCCCTCTTTTCCAAACCCATTCTCGTGGTTGAGAAACAGAGGCCATCTTGGGAAGGTAACCTGGGTCCTCCTTCCCTCCCTCCTTCCTCCGTTCTCAGAGGCGCATATCTCCTTTGTTCCCAGGCAGGGCGTCTGAACCTTCCCAGAGTCGGCCCTTCCCAGGCTTTCCAGTCTCTCTCCTCGTGGGCCTGCAAGCAGGGGCGTCTGCCCATGCTGCTCAGTCCACCCTTTTCTCCCTCTCCTCTGACTCCCCTTTGACTCACCACGATCCCTGTCCTGTAGCTCCATTGCCATTTCCATTTTCCCAGGAACCCCTCACTCTTTACCCTTGATCTCTTTGCAAAACTTGACCATGTTCCTTTGAGTTTCTCTTCCTTGTTAACCTCTGATGTCCTTAATGCTGTGCTCATTTTTTTCCCTTTTGTCTGGTTAATACATACTGATTAAGGGTTTGTATCAGGTCTTCTTTTAGACTCTAGAAACAACGGGGAACAAGAATTGTATGGCCTCTACCCTCATGGGCTTCCATTGACCACAGCTGAACCCCAAGATGCAGGATGGTGCCCCTGCTCCCTTGGGACTACTCACTCATGGAGCCTTATGCTCCCAGCTCTCACCTTTCTGCTGATGACTTGCTGGCCTTTATTCCTTCTTTCCATATCACCAGTCCCACATCTGCCACTGCTACTGTCGTGTGATTCCCACTTGAAATGCCCATCTCCCCTCCCCACATTGCCCTGCCCCCACAGCCTTTTCTTCCCTTCTACATCCTATTCATTTTATGCCTGGCTCATTTCCAGCCTCGTGTGAATCCTTCTTAGGCCTGTGCTATCTCAACGTGGCCTTTTCTTCCTTCCTTCTAACCCATGACTTAGAGTCAGTGCCGTACACCAACCTTGGATGACTTTCAGCTATATCCTAAGTCATCCTGTCACTTCCCAAATATGTGTGTCCTGTTTCCCAAACC